GCCGCGCGCATCCTTCGGCGCTGCGATGCAACCGTACAGTGCGGGGGCCTTAGTCACATCAGTTTTGTGCTGGAAGATTCTACCAGTACTATTGGGCAGATGTGATGGGGTGGTCACATCATGGTCACATCACCCCCAGCTTTACTAGCAGGAAAGGACATAAAGTGTGAAAAGTATCTAGACAAGTACTGCGGGAAATGCTTATGGCAACATGCAGGCACGACTTCTTTCTCTATTGTTAAAGCCTTACACGTGTAAAACACCACACTTACCACTCAAAAGAACGAAACGGCTGGTCTAGGGCACCATATCCGGAACCATCTGTGAAGGAAAGACCTGTCCGAAACTATATTTTCGGACTACAAGACCTTGCCCGAAAGCCTCTTCCTGAACTAATAGACTATCCGAAGCCATATTTCCTGGTCTGAAAAACCTGTTATGCAGTGTTTTTTGCTTCTGGAAAGGAGTTTGAGGTCATCTAGGAAATATGCAGATGGGGGAAAATACAACCACATGGGTGATAATACAACTGCGGGTCTTTGGAACTTTACAACTGCGGGTCTTTGGAACTTTACTTGAGATGTAAAAAATCTTTGGGGCATTATTTGAGATGTAAAGAGTTCGTGATTTATTTGAGATGTAAAGGGTCCTCGGGAACTTGGATGTAAAGAGCCTAGGCTTTGCGGTTCAGGAGCGAGTACGAAGGGCATGTAGGCAATACTTAACATGATTATTTCGGTTCGCATGCTTTCGTTCATGTAGATGCGACAGGCATGTGGGCAATACTTAACATGACTATTTCGGTTTGTATGCTTTCGGTCATGTAGTTGCGAAACGCATGTAGGCAATACTTATCATGATTATTTCGGTTTGTGTGCTTTCGGTCATGTGGATGCGATAGGCATGTTAGCAATACTTAACATGACTATTTAGGTTTGTATGCTTTCGGTCATGCAGGTACGAAGGGCATGCAGGCAATACTTACCATGATTATCTCGGTTTGTATGCTTTCGGTCATGTAATTGCTACAAGCATGTAGGCAATACTTAACATGACGATTTAGGTTTGTATGCTTTCGGTCATGTAGGTACGGAGGGCATGCAGGCAATACTTAGCATGATTATTTCGGTTTGCATGCTTTCGTTCATGTAGATGCGACACGCATGTGGGCAATACTTAACATGACTATTTCCTGGCTCCTTCAGGGAAAAAATCCTAAAATGCATGTGGTCCGAACGATACCACGTCTTGGCTTGTAAAGACCACTGTCCACTTGAAGGCCCGAACGATACCCCCAGGCTTCATGTTCTGGCAGTCGGTTACGGCAGCTCTGGTTGGGTTTTTGATTAGTGATTTGGTACTGCTTCGGGGACGACAATGGGCTAAAGTGCTTTTAGGGCCTCTAGGGTCCATAGGATCAAGTGGGGATTTTTCGTTTGGGGGGCTCCGCATCTTGTTGCGGAAGATCCGGCTGCGAAGATGCTTTCAAGTACTGGTTCTGCCAGTGATTTGGTACTGCTTCGGGGACGACAATGCGCTAAAGTGCTTTAGGGTCCACAGGATCAAGTGGGGATTTTTGTTTCCCGCCAATGATTGAAGCTACGCTTGAATGACGGATACGGCAAGGACGGTTCTTCAGCAGGTCCCTGGAATACTTCGTATCTATAGGAGCCGAGCAGCGAAAAACTTTCCCATGTAAATGCTTGGATCATTGATCCCTGTATTCGGACTAAGTCGGACTACATCGTATAGAAGCCGAGCAGCGAAACAACACATCAGAACAGCCATTCCCCATGTAAACGTTCGATTTCACACGGATGATTGCTCACTTTCCAGGTTTAGGATCTGGGGGCGTATCGGGATCCACAACAGGTAAGGTTCAAAGGCGAAGTTTTAGGGGTTGAACCAGGGGTTGCGGGTTCCGTTTGTTGTCCCAATCACCCAGCGATCGGAACAAAACCAAAATGGCTTTGCAGGCAAGAAACAACCTTTCAAGGGATACATGCCAGGACTGGTGTCGAACTGAATTCCCCGAGTGTGGATGCTATTGCAGGCAATACATGCCAGGACTGGTTTCGAACTGCCTTCCCCGAGTGTGGACGCTATTTTAGAAAGAGCTGATGCGACCCTCCCCGACCCCCAGTGTCTGCAAGGATCCACATGAAATCGATGCGACTAAGGACCTTGGCTGTAATTGGTAGGACCAGGATCCACTTTCGGCAGTCGGAAAAAAGCGTGCGAAAAAAAACAAAAAAACTGTTTAATGGCTTACTTGAATTTGAGATACGGAAATAGCAACAATCCAAATGAATTGAAGCGCTGAAAACACCCTCAACCCTTCTATTCCTCAACCCTAAACCCTAAACCGAATCACTTGCATCAAGCACCAAGCCCTAAATTCGTTGAAATCTTAAACACTTTAAAGCCCCTAAACAACGAAACTCAAACCCGAAAGGCCTCTCTATATCTCGACCCACAAAGCCCCTCAAAAAAAAAAAACACACGCCACTCGAAACCTTTGAAGCCCCCCAAGCCCCAAACCCCTAAACAGCCAAACATCGGAACCCAGCCACACACAAAACATATAAACCCCCACGCCTTACACCCAAGCCCTAAACTCGAACCCCAAACCCTAATGCGCTACACCTTAAACCCCCAAACCTCGGAACCAAACCCGAAGAACATGTATTCATAAGCCTTAAACCCTACACCCCAACACTCTAAC